GTGGAGAGTAGGAGATCAAATCTGGATGTAAGGGTCATGGTCACACCTAGACTGTAACACTAACCTGATCTACTGAAATTATTTATCTTATTAAAGGAAGTTGCAATGCAAAGAATGAAGAAGGAAAAAAAAGCTGAGGAGGATTGGAAATTCTCTCGCGTTAACAATAATAGGAATTTCCTCTCTAACAAAGTCTACTGTATGTCATTCTAAGACTGTATCACTAACAGTCGTAATATGTTACACCTGGACTGTAACATCAACAGTCATAATATGTTACATCTAAACTGAAAAAGCTGTAATGTGTCAAACCTAGATAAGCAACTGTCCACAAGAACACACAGAGGCAAAAAGTTAAAAGCAAGGAAAAGCTAACAAAGATGACCTAAAATGCATAAAAATGAAAAATAAAAAAAGAAATTCATGGATGCGTTAAGAAATTGGGAGGGGGTGTGGGCCATTTCTTCCCTTTTCCATGGCAGGTAAAGGCACAATGGAAGGTAGGAGACAGAAGCAAATATCAAACCTTTTGACCAAGAAGAAAAGAAATCACACTTTACCTACAGTCTCCACACCATCTGAGGAGTCGTGAAAATGGGGCAAAACGACAGTTCAGATTACTTAGAGTATAGAGAAGAGCATTGACATGAAACAGCCATGTGATGCAGACAAAACATGAAACAACAGAGGAGGAAAAGAAAAGAAATAGGACCTACCAGTAGCTCCCTCCAACCACCCATCTTTGGACAGGAAAAATTAAACATTCCTCACACCTCTAAAAACAACAAAGTACAGCTACAACACAACAGTGGCCATTTCATGCAAAGTTTTGTGAAAACAGTAATCTCCTTCGAGAAATTTGTCTCCTTTGATAGATTTATCAGAAGACATACAAGAAGCCAGTACTTCTTGCCCCCATATTCATCCTTGTCAGAATCCTGACATTATCTCCCCATTACCATTTCAGACAGTCAGAAACCTGGCCTTATAGACTTGTCTACATTACCAGGTCCGACTGTCAGAATCCTATTCTTTTCAATATTACCAGTTCAGACTGTTAGAGTCCTGATCATATCAACATTACAAGTTCAGGCTCTCAGAATCCTCACCCATTATACATTATCTATTCATACTGTATCCCAGGGAATAAGGCCTTGTAGAAAGACCATCTAGACGATATCAATCCATTTCTGATTTCCAGGTCTAAACGGGACTGTTGGTAATCAGACGACCCTCTCTGCAGGACAAGAGGTCACCTGGGCTGCAGCGGTACTCTACAATGCTAGCTTGCTACAGGTGAATACACGGAACATCTACAACTCCACATAGTCCAATAAAGACAACCTTGGAATTTGATCTTTGTTAAATAAGCTGGCAGACCTTGCTCCCCGACTGGTCATCAGGTAGCGTCGTCCGGTTGGGAGAAGCTGCAGCTCCCACCGCTCCCTGACCTCCACCCACCGGATGCTGCAATTTGATTGGCTCAGCCTGAGGGCCACGACCTCCAACCCTCTGCGTTCCCTTTGGCCGTGACTTCTGAATCTGATGAAAGATCACCAGGGATGTATCTTCATATCGTTGATGAATCGCAAACGTGGACTCCTGGTAGGGCGGAATGTGATTCATTTGGATCAGTCACGGAGTGGCTCACGTCTCCGCTCTGTCAGTGGCTGCAGACACAGCAAAACATGACATGTCAGGTATATTACCGAAATCCCTCGGGTTCAAGTTTCCATTTTTTCCCCCATCTATTACCCGATGTGTTTCAGGGCTGGTCTTTGTGAGTGTGCAATGTGATTGCTGTCCTTCGTGAGTTGTTTGAGCATTTTTTAAGTTAAATCTCTCTGCCATGGTAACTGAATATATAACATTTCAATTTTTTTCATGCATCACCCCAATTGCATTTTGGCACGATGTTGAACAAACCTCGCAACATTTCCGAACAGATGGACCCATGGGTCGGGTCGGATCTAGACTTTTTTAGTGTTGAAGAAGATTACAGCGATTCTGACCCAAGTTATGTAGAGGGCCAGAGTTTAGTTTAGGGGAGGCTGATACGGAAGGTTGTAGGGATGAGTGACAGTCAACTTAGCGATCTAAAACTACGCAATTTGGACACATTAATATATGCGAAAGATCATGACAAAAGTAACAATTTCAAATATCTTTTTTTTAAAATATTTGCATTGCGCAGTATGTTTCTTTTTTTTTTTTTTTTAACCTTTTTTTGCAAGTTAACTCTCCTTGTTGTTGCATGGTAAATTATACAGGTGCCAAAACACAAGACTTGGAATTCTTCTTATGCTGACAACAAATACCTCCCTTTTGATCGTTGCAGTGTAAATGCTCAGTTTTAGGGAGTAACGAACTTCAAACAGCTTAGTAGAGATAGAGATAAGAC